AGTTTAGCCCAGTGAGGGCTCCTGTCCCCGAGTTTAGCCCAGTGAGGGCTCCAGTCCCCGAGTTTAGCCCAGTGAAGGCTCCAGTCCCTGTGTTTAACCCAGAGAAGGCTCCAGTTCTCATGCCAAGCCCAGGGAGGGCCACTGTTCCCGAGTTAGGCCTACAGAGGGCCTCTGAAGATGATATTCTCCCCAAGGAAATTTTTTTTTGGGGGGGGGGGGTAGTATGGATCAGTCCGTAGTGGCCGGGCCAAATGGCCATGGCCTTCTGAGTTCCCTGCTCCACCGTGGCCTCCTGAACTGTCTGATCCGCCAAGGCCTTCTGGGCAGCCTGCTCCGCCAGGGCTCCCCGAGCTCCCTGTTCCGCCATGGCTTCCTAGTCTGCCTGCTCCGCCATGGCCCCTGAGCTCCCTGTGCCGCCATGGCACCCTGGACTACCTGATCTGCCCTGGAGGTATTCCCCGTGTCCCAGTCCCTCCAGGGCGCCCACCCCCCCTCAGACTCTGTTCTTTGTTTTGTGTGTGTTTTGCTCCCCATGTGCCTTCCTTGCCCTTATTTGGTCCTTCTGGTTCCTGTCCCCATTTAGTTCTATTAGTTCCAGGTGTTCCTTGTTATTAGTTCTCCTCCTCACCTGTCTACTCCTCGTTATCTGCCCTATTTGAGTTCTAGCCCGTTCTGTTCTCCCTTGTCCAGAATTGTATATGTCTACCCTTGCTACATGTGTTTTCCTTGTTCCCTGGAAGTTCATTAAAGCCTATATGTTTGAATTCCACTCCTCGTCTCCGAGCTCCTCACAGTAGCGAACGTGACAAATGCAACATAAGGGTTTTTTTTGTTGGCTTTTTCCGACGCTGCAAACTAAGAGACAACACCCTTTCAGATCCTTGAAATTATTGCTGTTTGCTCACTTGAACTTTGCCTGAGTACTGTTCTCATGCATGTCAAAGTAAATATCCTGGCAACTTTATATACCTTAATCATACAGTATGTTGTAGATAAAGACAGAATGCTGCCAAACCTCTTTCTGTTTCATGCTTTGTTCTTATATTGTTTTGTTGTTTACATGTTAAGATGTTTGCCCTTCCTCAAACAGAGGCTGAACAGCAAAATGTCACGCAACACAGTCTAAATGAGCAGCAAAATACCTTTATACTCCACGATCAAGCAGGTGTCCATCTCAGGATGAACTCCGTCCATTAGAATCATAAATCGCAGGTGTTCATCGACCTTTCGAATAATAGGAAAGCCAAAATCAAGAAAAATAACAAATGAAAAAAAGAAAAGAAAAGAAAAACAAAAACATACATTCTGCCACACGCCGAACGGCACCACGTTTATGTTTGTTAAATTCACTCCACTTTTCTCCAGATACCTGCAACAAAAACAAAATGCCTCTAGTTCAAACCCTTAGATGTGAAAAATGTACACTGAAAAACACATTGGTTTTGAAACAATTTTCACTTGAAAATTGCTAGTAAATTTCACAAATTATTACAAAGAAACAGGAAGTGACACATTGAATTAAATGTAAAATTTTGAAGTAGAAAAACTGAAATATGTAAAATGTATTTTTCCCGCCCTTTATTTTTCCTGTTTTGTTTTCAAATCTGTAACTGCCAAAGTCACTTCATTATAGTTATATTGAAGTGACATCGGCAGTTACAGATTTTTCCCACCATTTTGGTTTTTTTCAAATCTGTAACTGCCAAAGCCACCCCTTTATATTTAATTATAAGGTGGCATTGGCAGTTACAGATTTGAAAAACAAAAAGGCGGGAAAAATATATGTTTAAAAACTCCAATGTGTTTTTTTTCCCGTATTCGTCATTCCTTCCTATCAAAATGCTTGCTATGGATGCGAAAACGCAGAAAATCAAACCTGGTCCGATTTTTTTTTATTTTTTATGATGGACGAAAGTTTTGGAGGCAGTGTGTAAACGTGATTGACACAACATGAGGTCGTATTTATTTTTTAACGTCCGAAAATTTTGGACGAGAAAGACCTTTACACTTTATATTAAGTTGTCATTGTTACAGTGTAATTATACATTTGAGTACTGAGTAATATTAATTAACTTCATGTAGCCTACTTACTATATGGTTAGGGTTAGGATTAGGGTTTTTTTTTTTTTTGGTACAAGGCGCAGTGTATTTACATGGGTGTGGATGTGAGAAGAGAAGTATAAAGTAATCAGTCAACAATGGCGTGCATTGCTTCAAGTTTTTTTAAAGCAGTTTGTTTACATCAGAGACATGATGAGATATATGGTCTGATTATGTACCATAATCTCTCCGGCATGCAGCTCTTGTGCTTCTCTGGGCTCTGCGGTCCAGGGGTCTGGAGGATTCAACTCCACCAGCTCTAAACTACCATCAATATCTGATAGCACTGCCTCTACACACACAAATACAGTAAGACAATAACACAGCATTCACTTCCAACAACTACATACAATTAATATCCATCTATATTATGAATACATATTATTTATATTAGCTGCAATTAAAATGACATCAAACGTCATTATAATAAAGGTTTCATAGTTTTTTTTTTTCAGTGTTGCCTTAGAAGAGCCATTTTTGCTTCCCCAAAGAACCTTTCAGTGAACGTGTCTTAATTTTTTTTTCTTAATTTCTTAGAGCAAAGAACATTTTAGAATTCTAAAGAATCTTTTGTCACTATAACGAAACTTGCAATGTGCAATGGAAAATTTCCATGGATATTAAAGGTACTTTATAGAACCATCGATGCCAAAAAAGAACCTACTGTATTTTCAAGAGTGTATGAAAATGATTTCAATGCACTCTTTTTAAATAACAGTGATATTATTACCGAGTTCGTCTTGCATGAAGCTGTCTGGAGGGTTGACATACTCCATTGTGGCCACGTTCAGTTTCCAGTAGTGTTTGGTGCAGCGCACTGTTCTGTTACACAAACACACAAGTGCACTTTTTTAGTGATTCGTAATAAATATTTATATTTTTTGAAAATGTTTTTGTCTCTTCTGCTTACTAAGGCTGCATTTATTTAATCAAAAATACAGTTAAAACAGTAATATTGTTACATGTTTTTACAATTCAAAACATACTGTAAAATGTCATTTATTCCTGTGACGCAAAGCTGAATTTCTAGCTTCATTACTCCAGTCTTCAGTGTCACATGATCCTTCAGAAATCAGTCGAATATATTGATTTGCTGCTCAAGAAACATTTCTGATCATTATCATTGTTTAATACACTCGTGCTGCTACATTATTTTTGTGGAAACTGTGATACATTGGTTTTCAGGAGTCTTTGATGGGATTTCTTTGAAATAGAAATCTTTTGTAACATGCCTAAATAACTGCCACTCAGGGTTCTGTCACTTAAGTCTGGTTTATTCTTGGTTTTGTGACAGATCCCTGACAATCATGTATGGTCTCGTCTTTTTGTGACCGTCTTCCCGGCCGGGTTCGGGTCCATCTTTCAAATAATTGACGGTCCGCGTCGGTTCCGGGTAGTACATTTTTGACATTTCTCGGTTCTGCACGGGCCCGGATCCAACTTTCAAAATAATAGACGAGTCCGGGTCGGTTCAGTGTAGCAGATTTACGGGTCTCTTCGGGTTCGGGTACAAATTTTTGGACCCGTGTAGACCTCTACTTCAATGGGCACCTTCCTCTTTCTGTTTGCCTCTTTTGGGGTCTTAGTGGAACAGCAGATGGTCCAGCTTGTCCAGCAACTCTTCCTTCATTAGGGGAGGAACAACGTCAAGGACTTTGCCCACGAATTCCTTGCCATGATTGACGACCTGGTCTATCATTACAACACTGACCTGAAGGAGCTCTTTAACATCTGCCTCACAAAGCCCCTCAGCCCTTGGGAGATGGGAAGGCTGGGGCACCATTTACACCATAGTGGGGAGTCAGAGTCCCATGCAGCACAAAGTCCTTCCACAATGTCTGTCCCTCCGTTCCACCTTCAACCAGTGGAAGACTCAGCCCTCCAATAACCCAGAAATGGAGGGGGAATAACAAGTGTGCAGAGGTGGCTGAACACACTGCAGCCCCTTCTTCGTCTGGTGGTCCTGGAGGCAGGGGCAGACTTAGTGATTTGGGGGCCCTAAGCAAATTTTAGGTATGGGGCCCCAACACATTATGCTCTTTTACGCCATAAGCTATAACTAGTTTATTTACTCCTTCACAACTTAAGTAAATAATTAGTCAACCTGATGTTGTTCTAAAGCCATATTAGGCTACCTTATTTTTTCAGATCACAAAAGAAGACATTGTAAAAAAAAAATGCACTTGTCCATTTAATGAATTGTAACTTCTTTAATCTTTTTACAAAAAGGTTTCAAATATCATAAAAAACTATCCCATGCAACTCGTTCCGTATCCCAAGTGTTCTTAAGGCATTCAGTAGGGTTTGCCGAGAAACAAATTGAAAAAGTAAACTATTATTAAGAGAAAATCTCCAGTCATCGCATTCGTGCATTTATACGAGCTGCGCGGCAGTTCGTGCCGGCGCGCATAGGAAAAGCACACAAGCGAGTCAATTTCAAACATCAAGACAAATAAAATCATTGCACGAAACATGATTGACACTCTCCATAACACAAATACGCATTGAAGCATTTGCCAAATATGTTTCGCCAATATCAAATGGGGCCCCCTGATTCCCCGGGGCCCTAAGCGACCGCTTACCTCGCTTATTGGTTAAGTCCGCCCCTGTTTGGAGGACTTGACTCCAGTGGACCCAAGGCCAGTGGTCCTGGAGCAGCCAAGTGCAGTGGTCTCGAATCCAATGGTCATGGTGGCCCGACTCCGGTGGTCCCAAATTCAGTGGTCCTGGAGAACCTGACTCCGGTGGTCTTTAATCCAGTGTTCCTGGAGGACCTGAGTGCGGTAGTCCTGGAGGACCCAACTCCAATGGTCTCAGGACGACCTGACTCCGATGGTCCCATGGCCAGTGGTCCTCGAGCACCCGAGTGCGGTGGTCTCGAATCCAGTACTCCTGGAAGACCTGACTTCGATGGCCTCAGATCCAGTGGTCCTGGAGGACTTGACTCCAGTGGACCCAAGTCTGGTGATCCTGGACGACCCAAGTCTGGTCGTCCTGGTGGATTTGACTCCAGTGGTCCAGGAGGAACTGAGTGCGGTGATCCCAAATTCAGTGGTGCTGGAGGACCTGACTCTGGTGCTCCTGGAGGACCCAAGCCCGGTGGTCCCAAGTCTGGTGGTCTTGGAAGACCTGACTCTGGTGCTCCTGGAGGACCCAAAGTGGCCTGTTCTGTCTATCATGGCCATGGAGACCATCACAAACCCTGGGCAGGTCTTCCAGATAGAGTCCTCTTCAGCCATGGGGTCTCCAGAGTCCTAGGACGACTGTTGCAGGGACTTGTAGTCAGTGATGGTGTGAATGGCTTGCCACAGACTCTGTCTCTGCTGTCGATAAAATGTTTTTTTTTTTTCTTTTTTGTGTGCATACAGCCATTTTGCCCATTTTGGGCTGCTTTATCTCCTGACCTGAAATCTCCGCTTCTTAGCAGCCCAGAAACCTCTTTGTGTAAGCTCCGGCAAATGTTCCCTTTGTGTGTTGCCTGTGTACCTTGCATGTTCCTTCTCTGCCCTGCCCTGCCCAGTCCCGCTGCCAGTTGTGTTTTCCCCCAAAGGGGTAGTTTTTGTTTGTTTAATGTTTTCTTTTATCAATTAATAAATCCCATTGAAATCTGCATTTGAGTCCTCGCTGATGCCTTACCATAAAACCTGACACACTTTTGATTCATTTTAATGCATCCTTGCTGAATAAAAGTACTAATTTCTTACTTACCCCTTCATACTTGTGATATATAATGGTTACCATGAAAATATGAAGCTGCACAACTATTTTCAACATTGATAATAATCAGAAATGTTTCTTGAACAGCTAATCAGCATATTAGAATGATTTCTGAAGGAATCATGTGACACTGAAGACTGGAGTAAGAAAGATTTATTCAAGTTTGAAAGACTTCTTTCAAAAACATCTATAAAAAATCTATAAAAGTGGTGGCCAAAATTGTTAGAACACCTGACAGATCAGAAAATATTGACATTTTTTTTGTCTCCAAAACATGATTTCATTTCATAATGTTCATGAAACATGCAGATGGTTGCTCTGAGCACATCAAATATCAGATGAAGTGAGTCGTACGGTTTTTATCCACTTTTAACTTTAATATTTGGTATGTCCACCTTTTGCAGCATTTACAGCAGCACATCTCTCTGGTATAGTGTCAATATATTTCCTGAGAACTTCAACACTAATGTTATCCCATGCCTTCTGCAACTCAAGCCAAAGGCTTTCCTTTGAATGTACAATAGATCTGTCCAGTTTATTTTCCAACTCGCCCCAAATTTGCTCGATGGGGTTGAGGTCCGGACTTTGAGGGGGCCAGTGCATCATTTTCAATATTCCAGCAGATTCCTTCCGTCGCTGGTAGTTCCGGCAGTAGTTCGTTTTATGGGCATTGTACTGGCCAATTCAACAAAAACAACTGAAACTTCTTAAAAATGCCAAGTGTTCTAACAATTTTGGCCACCACTGTATATCTGTTGCAGGAATATTTGCATGTATATATTTGCCTTTTCCCAAGTGAACTTGAGCTATTTTTATTTATAACTATAACTAAATGAGCTATTAGCTATTTGTCTGGTAAACATTGTTCCCTTGTTCTCTTTTTATTTTTCCCCTATTATGTTAGTTTCGATTCACCCACCTGCCGTCCATGTCTTCTATGTCTTTAATGAAGAGTCCTCCCTGGTGTTTGCACTGGTTCACACACGCTCGTATTTTGTCTTTGCCTTTGTAAATGATGTAACATTTGCCATCCTCTTGGTTTTTCTTAAAATTAATTCCATCTTTTAGTGCGCGGACGTCTTCAGCCTCCAGTCGCAGGATAGTCTTTGAGACCTGAGATGTCATTATGCTTCAGATCTAGAGACAAATGAGTCTTTGCGGTCAGATCTTAGTTCTTAGTTCTTAATTATACACTATTATAATGCATTATTGATAGACAGGTGCAGCTAGAAATGTGTCATTCATTGCAAGACTGGTTTAAAACTATGTTCTTTATTCAAGAATAAATCAATTTGTCTGAAATGGATACTTTAACAACTAAACAAACCCAAATTTGACCAAAACATATGCAAAACCAAGTAACTGTGTTGTTCTATTTGTACTGGAAATATAATTTCCCACATTTTTTTCTGTCAAATAATTTTCAAATTATGACAATTTTTTAATCTCATTTAATTCTAATAATTTGTACAGTTTGTTAAAAAAGAGTTATACAGACAGAGCAACATTACCTTTAATTGCTGTGAGCTGGTTTCTGAATTAAATGTGAGCAGGAAGAGTGTGTGTGAGCTGCAGCCCACATGTGAAGCTGAAAGTGAAGTTCTGCTCTCGTTATCAAGCGCTTTCAGTTGAATTGACAAGGCGTAGCCATCACTTCACCCTGAAAAGCTCCTCATCCTAATTTTAAACACATTTTAGTTGAACTTAGTCTTTTTTGTTTGTTTGTTTATTATAGCTGCTCAAGTGTATTGAGTACAACAACAAAAAAAAAGATTATTGGAGCATGTTTTACAAGAAAATACTACTTCGGTCATGTAATTAAATGTTCTGCTCTGCTTTGTAGATTCCAGTATACTCAAATGTGTTTTTTGAGTACACGGAAAAGAGTGTTAGGGTTTTTAAGTTCATTTGTCTATAATACTAAAATCATAGGTAGGAAATCACGTGTCACCACACTTGACATTTCCACATCAGTTTCTCGTTGAATAAAGCAACATGCACAAAAAGTCAACCTAACAAAAACACTTTTGAATGTCAAATATACAGAAGCTTACTTAGAGTTGCTCGATGTAAACTCAGAATTCTGAGGAAAAAATGGGGGCATTCCAAAGTGCAAACATTTAATTGTGCATCGTCTACAAACAGCTTCTGTTTTATGTTTTTAAATGAAGCTATAGATGACAGCTGCAGTGCAACAATTTTAAACTAGAAAAAATTTTTTTAAGACAAACTTTGTTAGCTTGAGAAAGCCTAGTCTGAAAGTTCTAAGTACTTGTAAAAGCTTGATGTTTGAAACCGTTTTAAAGATAGATGAACTAAAAATGAACTATGGCCTTTAGAATAATTTAGGTGAAAAACAAATAAAAATGACAAAACATTCTCCTTCAATTCAGATAAGGATAAGACAAAGTCTAGAGTCCATCTGCTCAATCATGTGAAAACGATTTAATGTGCTTGTTAATAGCAGTGATAGCATTATCTTCTGCTTTTGAGAAGGCAAGATGTGAGTTTTATTATGGGGCTGACCTTCAAATAATGTAGAATGGATGTAGAAACATGTGACATTCCAGGCAAAGCCAGTGTTCCTGCACGAACCGGTCACTTAAGATGTTGGGCTATATTGCTTCCATTACATGTCTTCTTTCAGACTAGTGTAGAATAGTGCACATTTAAGTGTTTATTAAAGTACACGTTATCTATTTGTCTGTATATTTCAGTTACATATCTTTAAAGGACGCGTTTACATAAGCAGCACTGACATACACCAGACTTTTAAACGATATTTTGCTATCTGTATTCTGAAGATTTTTACAGAAGGGTTTGTTCATATATCATTGTGAGAATTGTGAGAACAAAAATCCAAATTATGAGAGAAAAAGTCCTACCTTTAAAAAATAAAAATAAACAATTATTTCATTTTTTAACCTCTGGTTAAACAAGTTTTCATACCAATTAGATTTCAATTAGAACACAATTAATTAGGTAATGTGCATATTTAAACATTTCAGAAAACTCACATTAATGTCAGTATATATATATAGATATATAGATATGTACTGTACTGTAGATGATATGTGTGTATATATATATATATATATATATATATATACAGTATACACACACAATCAAAAAGGTAATTATTATAAAATTTGTATTCCTTTATTATTCAGAGAGGACAGTCGAGAGATGACAGGAAAGCATTGGGTAGAGAGAGGGGAGCGGGATCGGCATGGAACTTGAGATGGGATTCGAACTCGGCACTAACCGCGAGGCTATCGCGCCAACGCAAATTTTACTTTTGAATGTTCTCTGAATGTTCTGGATCAAGTAGTAAGATTTTAAAATGTTTTGTGAAGGACATTTTTAGAATTGAGCATTTTAAATTAAACATTTCTCTTCTTTGCAGGCTTATCGTTTGTATACGTTTGACAGCAAAATGCAATGACACCTAGATGTCTGTCTGAAAATAATAATGACCTAAGAACTGTGACTTGAGTAACGAGCTGAGGTAATCAGTAACCAAATTAGCTTTTCCAGCAACACAGGGGAGGTTTGCTGAATTGCACATTTAAGAAGAACCAATAATGTTAATGAAAAAATGCTGTCATAAATCATCAGGTTACCATTACCTATTATATAAAAATATAAATTCTATCTCTGAAATTGGAATGTTAATTCAATATTGATGTTCATTAACGTTACCGCAAGAACCTTTGTTCATATAGCTTTGAAAACCTTGCCAGAACGTTAGCCAAAGTTCTGAAAGCAACCTGTTAGCTTGCTAACGTGTGAGATGATATCATTAGAAGAAAGAAATGTTCCTGCGAACTTTAAACAAACACTCACTTGAGGACAGGAAGTCATGGAGCCAAGGAATTTTATTTGAGCACAGGAAATTACAAAAATAGAAAAGAATAAAGAACTGAAGGAAGCAAAACAAATGAAGGGAACACAAAAACACGAGCCTACTGAGGCCAAATAAAACCAGAAACCAGTTTGGCAAAGAGATTTATCACGGGACTGACAAAAAAACTAAAAAAAAGATACCGATAACTACTCATACTACTTTAAGTTTCTTGTCAAATTCCCTTTATCCACCTTATTTTGCAATCTTCTTTCAATGTGTGAGATTTCCTGTTCTTCAGATGCCACCTTTTTCCTAACGAGAGGCAAATAGAGCTATGCGTTTGCTGAAAATAACGCTTAAGGCTAGAAGGGATACAGCAAAAACTACTAGGCATGCGCACATTAATATAGCGTACATTTTCTCACACTGTACAACAATTAGTGTTTTTGCATTATTGTAAGGGGTAGGTTTAGGGTTGGGGCAGGTGTAGACATTAATAAAACACAATCTAATAGGTAGAAAATGTAATTTATTGTTAGCTTCCGGTTTTTGCTGCATCCCTTCTAGCCACAACTGAAAATAACTGAAAGTGAATGAAATCGGAAGCTGCGCACATTCAAATGACAAATGTGACCCTGGAGCACAAAACTAGTCTTAAGTAGCACAGGTATATTTGTAGCAACAGCCAAAAATACATTGTATGGGTCAAAATTATCAATTTTTCTTTTATGCCAAAAATCATTAGGATATTAAGTAAAGATCATGTTCCATGAAGATATTTTGTAAATTTCCTACCGTAAATATATCAAAACTCAATTTTTGATTAGTAATATGCATTGCTAAGAACTTCATTTGGACAACTTTAAAGGCGATTTGATCAGTATTGTGATTTTTTTTTGCACACTCAGATTCCAGATTTTCAAATAGTTGTATCTCAGCCAAATGTTGTCCTATCCTAACAATCCATACATCAATGGAAAGCTTATTTATTTAGCTTGATGTATAAATCTCAATAATAATAAAAAACATTTAAAAAAAAAGACTCTTGTGACTGGTTATGTGGTTCAGTCACAAATACCGCCGAGCAGTAATTCCACGCCAGTCCTGTAGAGGTCAGTGGTGGCGCTCTTGCGAGATTTCTGTTGCGCAAACACACCGAAGAAGGCATTTAGTCAGCAAAAGTGAGGGAATCGTCCTCATAAATGTATTAATTGTGGCTCAGAGATGGCGCTGTCCTCCTCGCAGCAGCTCGTCATGGCGTTCACGGCGGTGCTGCTGGTGTTTGTGCTGTTCCCGCGGATGTTCGGCGGCGGAGGAAGCAGAGACGGTCAGCCGTTCGATCCGCGGATCAACAGGAGAGGTGCGGACTCGAGCGGACCAGCCTCGGCTGTGTTTGTTTACTTTCTGGCTCTGTGTTTAGCAGTATATGTGACCCTGGACCACAAAACCAGTCATAAGGGTCAATTTTTTGAAACTGAGATCTATACATCATCTGGAAGCTGAATAAATAAGCTTTCCATTGATGTATGGTTTGTTAGTTGATAGGACAATATTTGGCTGAGATACAACTAACGTTATTTGACAATCTGGAATCTGAGGGTGCAAAAAAATCGCCTTTGTACAAATGAAGTTCTTGGCAATGCATATTACTAATCAAAAATTAAGTTTTTATATATTTTATATGGAACATGATCTTTACTTAATATCCTAATGATTTTTGGCATAAAAGACAAATCGATCATTTTGACCCATACACTGTATTGTTGGCTATTGCTACAAATAAACCTGTGCTACTTATGACTGCTTTTGTGCTCCAGGGTCACATATTACTGCTTATAATTTAGTGCGTAGCATTTTTTAGGTTTGTTGTGGGTTTTTGCTGGATTTTACTAACGTTACGTCTACGGTTCTGTTGAGTTTACTGCAAAAATATTTTTGTCATCTGTTTGTCATTTCATATAGAGATGTTTAACACCATTTTTATATTCATTTTATATCACCAAATCATTAGGATAATAAGTAAAGATCATGTTCCATGAAGATATTTTGTAAATTTCCTACCGTAAATATATCAAAACTTAATTTTTGATTAGTAATATGCATTGCTAAGAACTTCATTTGGACAACTTTAAAGGTGATTTTCTCAATATTTTGATCTTTTTGCACCCTCAGATTCCAGATTTTCAAGTAGTTTTCAAATACTTATTTATTCCGCTTTCAGGTGATGTATAAATCTCAATTTTAAAAAAATAGACCCTTATGACTGGTTTTGTGGTCCAGGGTCACATATGTCTTTGTTTCATTCATAATGATGTGCAGTATAAACAGCCTCTCTGGAGAACAAGGATACTGTGGGTCTTAAAACATCTCAAAAAGATCTTAAAAAGGTCTCGATTTGCCCTTCCACAAATAGGGCCTTAAAAAGAAAGTTTTAAATTCCTATTTAAAAATGATTCTTTTCCTCAGTATTTTTGTCTTGTTTTCCGGTTCAGATATCTAAATATACTTAAATCAAGAAACATTTACTTGACATGCAAAATGATTTGAAGTCTTGTTTTACGAGAACATGAAGTAATGGAGATCGTTTGGAAGCTGTAGAGAACATATTGACATATCTATTCCCCTATTCATCTTAGAAAAGGTCTTAAAGTCTTAAATTTACCTTCATAAAATCTGCAGAAACCCTGGATGTGTATTTGATTGTGTGTGGTTCTGCAGGTCCTGGTCCCGGTCCCGATCTCGGTCCTGGTAGTGTGAAAAGTCAGCAGCAGTTCCACAGGAACGCGGCGCCTCCGATGTCTCAGAGCGTGGAGAACATGCAGCAGATGAAGAAACTCATGGAGCAGGAGCTGAAGAGCGACAAATACAAACCCAACAACAATAAGGGCTACGTCTTCACCCTCATGCCCATCTACGCCATCGGTGTCGGGCTCTTCGCCGCGTATAAGTTTCTAAAGGTGCTGACGTTTGTTGTTATACATTAATTTGTTATACAAAAGTTTTATGTAGCAATTACAAAGAAATGGTAAGTAACAGATATAATTAACCATGAAATTTTGAAGAAAAACTGAAATAGCATTTTCTTGCTTGTTAAAGAAAAGTCAGTCTACAAAATAAAAAAAAATATATATATATATAGAGAGAGAGAGAGAGAGTTTACAAACTAGTTTTTTTTTTTTTTATTTATTTTTTAGAAAAAGCATATTGAAACTGTATAGCATGTTAAATGTTTGAAAAATAAATGCCAGTAACTTTAAAAAATAATTACATAGAAACAGCAGGTATTAACACATTGAATTAAACATGAAATAAAAAAATGAGAATGACTGATATACTGTTTTCTTGTAAAATATAATCCAGTAATCTGTTTTGTTTACAACTTCAACGTACATACAAAGCATGTGAAATAGTATGTAATATGCAATGATAAATGTTTGAAACCGTATTTAAAATAACAATAAAAATTGTTAGTAAATTTCACAAATAATTACAAAGAAATGGTCATACTTTTAATTAAATATGAAATTTTGAAGGAAGACTGAAGTAGTGTTTTCTTGTAAAACATACTCTAATCTTTTTGTTTACGACTTTTAATTTTTACAGTTTACAGTCATGATTTTTTTTTTGTCTTAATAGTGATGATTTGGATGGGAAATGTACTTGATTGTGATTAAAGGCACAATTCATAAATAAAATAATGGGCCTAAAAATATATAGTGTGAAAAATGTTTTTTCATAGTTTCTTTATAATCATTTGTGTAATGAAAATCAAAGCCAATTTTTCTAGGGACAAAAACAGCTTCCGCTCTTCTGGTTTGCTGTTTAAGTTGCTTAAGTCTTTGTTTTTGTGTTTTCAGATAAAGTCTGCAAGCGATTCTGAAGCTCAAAAAGCCAAAACAGCTCGAGGAGTGAAGAAATCAGAGGAGACAGGTGTGTGTTGTAAGGTCAGCTCACCTTCGTTGGGCCAATTATCCAATGGTGGCTGAAGGTTTCCTGCGCATTCAGCCTTTTCGGTGCGCAAAGTAACTTAATTTCAATTAAATTCTAATCTGACTCCATTTTACCATGACCTTGAATTTAGTTTAGAATGCCAATTATTATTGATCATTGATAGGATAAATTATCTAGACTTATGATTCTTCTCTTTAACACTTTAATCTTATTCAATCTTATAAATGTTATTCCTATAACACGTTGAGTCTCGTACTGGCCGGTATATGAATGTCATACTTACAAACTCGTCAGTCTGGGTAATTAGACAGAGGCGATTGACTAATATTATAGAAAGCCTGTACCTACTTTGCTCATTCTAAAATACATTATTTAGTCCCCATAGATCTGTACACACCTAATTAAGGTAAGACTATATCTAACCAGAGGTCATGACAGTTACCACAGAACCAAGTTGCCTAATTTAACTTCCTCTAATGGTGACTTTATATAATCATGCCGTGGTTTTCCAGTACAGTACAGTAATCAAGAGGTTGAGGCTCACCCTATTTAGATTGGTCAACAACACCTCTCTGCTCCACCTAAGATGCGTTTTAGTCCGTTACTAACCTCAGCGTAGATTTGTGGTGTTATGGATTTAACAATCTATTAGAGTCAATAATCTCAGAGTAAGTGTCGGAATAAAATCAAATGTAACATTTATTATCAGTCAGGTAAATATGTGTTATGACCAGTGTTGGGGGTAACGCATTACAAGTAACGCGAGTTACGTAATCAGATTACTTTTTTCAAGTAACTAGTAAAGTAACACATTACTTTTTAATTTACATGATCTGAGTTACTTTTTCAAATAAGTAACGCAACTTACTTTTTTTTTCCAATTTATTAATAAGCAAAAATGACTCTAGACAAACATTTGTGTGTCTTTTTTTAATTGCTGAAGTGTGTTGAAATTTCTTCTTCTGCATTCTACCGTAAATTTACTTTCCCTTCAGCCTGAGGCTTATTCATTTCACTTTTGGTGTGAAAAGGCTTTTATATTTGCCAAAAATAGAACTTTTTTATTTTAAAAATGAACAAGCAAGCCCTGTCCAGATTTAAAAAGTACCGCAAAAGTAACATAATGCATTACTTTCCATAAAAAGTAACGAAGTAACGTAATTAGTTACTTTTTTTATGGAGTAACGCAATATTGTAATGCATTACTTTTAAAAGTAACTTTCCCCAACACTGGTTATGACAATTACATAGTCAATTCAGAGATATCAAATCAAATCAATACTAGACATCAAATTCTCAAAGATAAATCTAAGAGTAAAGGATGCATACCTGACTTAAGAAAAATACGTAGTACCACAGGCTCATCTGGCTACAGAAGCACGCTGATCTTTTTGCAGCATTTTCTTAAGTACTTCAGACCGAGACAAACATCCTCCAAATGGAGACAAGAACTAACAATTGGAAATAGTTTTGATCAAGTCCTAGGCGTGAGAGTTTACACCTTTTTGGGGACATTTGGTAATTTGCATGAAGGACACTGGGAAATGGCACACCCAGTAAGCAAATTATTTCTAATCTCTTAGGATCTGTATTACCTTTTAGTCTACTTCTTGTAAGATTGAGACCATTTTACCAGTCGACCTGAGACAATTCAAATGATACCAAATATGACTGTGAGTATCATTTGCAGGGGTGGACTGCTCGGGCCCCGGGGAATCAGGGGGCCCCATCTGATACTGGCGAAACATAATACTCCAGTGCGTATTTACCGCTCAAAACGTCAAGTTTTTGTCAAGTGCTGAGTTCTGCAAGCTCGCGAATCCCCTCATTATAACAATGTGTAGATATGATGTAAAAAGGAGATTCATCGTGCAGTGCAGGCAGCTTCACTGATTAATGGAATGTCGTGGGATTGCCATGAACTGAAGTGAATGACAGCTTTCAGTGATTATAGAGGGAGCGCTCTTTGCACACTTTCTAGGCTGAATAATCCTGTCTGACTGTTTCAGAATGGATATATTAAAGGGCTCATGAACTCTTTCTAGATTCTACATCGCTGCCTGTTTAGCCCCGCCCACCGATTCTACATCGCTGCCTGTTTAGCCCCGCCCACCGATTCTACATCACTGCCTGTTTAGCCCCGCCAACTGATTCTACATCACTGCCTGTTTAGCCCTGCCCACAGATTTGCACATGTAGCCTAGTGTTTACGAGAGAGGCAAATGTGCATGTCTATGTAGAAACAAAACGATAAAGAAGATGCTGTTCACTGTCAAGTTGTGGAAAAACAGTGTTTGTGTTGCCTTCCTTCTGATCCCAACGTTAGGAATGAACTTTTTTTTTAATGAAGTATTTTTAATGAAGATCCAGACCGTGTCAGTAAGAACTCGGTCCTTTGTTCATTTTATTTGACCGCGGATTCGTTTACAAACAAGGCACAATTCAACATTGTAATTTTCAGAAAGATTGAAACTAAAAGACGATGCTGTGCCGACTATATTGGATCCGACAGTAATGTAGCAACACACAAGTGTGAGTAACTGTTTTCATTATGTGATCACTATTGCTTTGTCTCTTCTCACAGATCGCTTGATAATAATATGTATTGAGTTTATGCATTTTTGACCTAAATCATAGCAGCTTCCATCTGCTGTATGAGGAATGTATGCTGTCAAATATACACAACTATTAGTCAATCATAGCAGTGGGCGTTTACTTCCGAGTCTACAATCCACCACGCCTGTTCAAACAGAGCATTCTGATGAGGGGTTAAAAACAGGACAATTACTTCTAAATTAGCCTATTACTTCTAAATTATGATATTTTTTTGGTGTAAAAATCTTGATAACATTATAAGTGGACCTCAGAGAACAGTACAAAATAAAAAACAAAGGCAGTTCATGACCCCTTTAACCTCAGAGAATAAAGTATCATGTTTTGTGTCATGATTTTATTTGTCTTGATGTTTCAAAATGACTCGCTTGTGTGCTTTTCCTATGCACACCGGCGTGAGCTGCTGCACACTCATACAAATGTACGAATGTGATGACTGGAGATTTTTTTTTAATAATAGATTACATTTTCGATTTGCCGTATGCCTTAAGAACACTTAGAATACGGAATGAGTTGCATGGGATAATTTTATGACATTTGAATCCTTTTTGTTGAAAGATTGAAGAAGGTTACAATTCATTAAATGGACAAGTGAGATGTAGAAACCAAAGTCTGTATGTTAATACACTGTGTGTGTGTGTGTGTGTGTATTGTCCGTATCTCAGAAGATCCAAGTGTCTGAGGTTCTTCAAGTCTTACAGTGCGCATGAATGAGGATGCTTAAAAGTGCTTTCTTAGAAATGCCACCATTCATTTGATATATTCAGGAAGTGATTTTTCTGAAGCATTTGTGGTTTTCCACAGAGAATCAGCTGAATGAGCTGGAGCAGAGACTGGCTCAGACCGAGAAGATGCTCAACACCATCCTGACACAGCTGGACCCGCTTACCAACTGGTGAGAGCAGACATGCACACGAAAATGAGAAATTGAACACCTGCAAACCTCTTTGTTTTAAATAAATGTGGTTTATTCAGTCATGCAACAATGCCCTTGGTTAAAGCACATTCATAGCCTGATTGATTTGGTTATGCAAAAACAAAAATGGGGTTTGCGACATTGAAATGTACGCTGGTGGCGAGCGGCTCGTTGTTGGCTTTCAGCCGTGTGGCTTTGTTTATTCTGGGTGTTGTTCTGCAGTGTGAAGTCTGTTGCCATGGAGCAGAAGAGCGAGATCATGTCGCAGCTGCAGTGCATTCGGCAGCTAATGAAGAAGAGGGGCATGGAGTGTCCAAACATCAGGATAGAAGGTAAACACATCTGCTCCCGTACACACGCCCACGCAATTAACACAGTACCGCGCAAGCATGTTAGTAACACCAGCGCTCAGACTCATGGAAACATGAGTGCCACATACAGTTAACTGTATAAATTAAAGGCTTTTGAAGACATCTGTCTATCTATCTACACACACACACACACAAGTGAAAGCAGAAGTTAGGCAATTTAGGAGGACAACAAATCCTTAGATAATATACCTACCTATTATTTATCCATTTTTCATTAAAATCAGCAATTTGGCAAGTAGAGGCCAGTTCACACCAAGGAAGATAACGATAAAGATATAGTTCTAAAAATCGTTCTCAATATTAAAGAATAGCAGAGTCCACACCACAGCTATAGCGATAAAGGCACAGAGAAATTATATCGTTGGAATCACTTCCAGAACGATTTTTTCCAGCTGATGAACAATACAAGCTTTGACACCCAATCAGAATCAATCCTGCTGTCATGAGCTCGAGAATTTAAAGCGGCAGACGAGCGTGCGCTTAGAATAAACAGACGATATCGTTATCTTTATAGTTATCGTTCTTGGTGTGAACGTGGCTTTAGAAGGGCAACAAGTCCGAAGATAATCTATCTATCTTCTGTTTATTTATTTTTGTTATTTATTTATTTTTATCTATATTATTTATTTTATTTTTATTTATCCATATTTATCTATTTTTAATTTTATTTAAAATAAGCAATCGGGCAATTAGAAGTTTGACAAATCCTTAAATAATTTGGCTATTATTTATCAATTTTTATTATTTATTGATTTTTATTATGTATCCATTTTTATGTATTTTTAATTTTATTTAAATCATTTTCAAAATCAATCATTAAAAACAAAATCAAATTTGCAGTTAGGCCGTTTAGAAGGACAACATATCCTTAAATAATATATCATCTATTTATCCATTTTTATTATTTATTGATTTTTATGTATTCTTGTCCATTTAAGACAGTACTGAGAATGACTTTTAATATTTAAAATGCATTTAATTGCATTTTATGTATTCATGTTAAACCTAATTGGAGGCTGTAAACATAAATCTTTTTGCATTCATGTCAGTGAGTAAGTACTATTTATGCTGCAGTAATGCAAGTTTTAGTTTACACACAACTAATGCAGATGACCGCAGTAAAGCAGCTCACTTATCTTTGAAAATATATCGTAAGCAAGTTAGTTAGATAAAGTAGCACTAAATCAGCCAACATAATGTAGGTCACGCTGCCACGCTGTGTTAATAAATCATGTTAATATGTGATTATGTGCATGTTGGAAACATTTAGATGCCTAAGTGACACTTGCTTTGGTATTTTGTATTTTCATACACAGTGCTGTGACATGCACACATTTTTAAGTGACTAGAAACGCCGTTCTACTTGTAAGCATGTATTTTAGCATTGTGGTGATGGGTGTTGCAAATCATGTGGTTATTTCTTTTAGAGCCGACATGTGAGCGCAACCTAGACAAACTCATTGAGACTTTGGGCGCAGTCGAGACGCTTCCAGAAACTCAGATGGAATCACAAACACACACTGAAACGCAGCCACATGATCACCGAGAGCTCAGGCCTGAGTCTGAGGGAGAGGAGGAGGAGGAGAACATACCCGCGGCGGGAGAGGAAGACGTGGGAAGCGAGAGTGACTCTAGTATGCCGTCCCTCGAGGACTCGGCTGACATCAGTGTAGATGATGTTACAGTCAATCATCCAGAAGATCTGACAGCTGGATTACGAAGACGCAACAGGCCAGAGTAACGGTGACGAGAATCGGACACAAATCTATTTATATATTTATTTTATTCCTTGTAATGAAGCAGTCAACACTACTTACTGGTGTCAATGTCTACGTCTACATATTTTACTGCATTTGAAATTAATTGATGCAATTTAAAATAGCTGTTTTCCATGTGAATATATTGTAAAATGTGATTTATTCCTGTGATGCAAAGCTGAATTTTCTTCTTTTTATTTTATTATTATTATTTTTAATCTTACTTGCCCTAAACTTTTGCATTGTAGCTTATTATGGTTTCCACAAAATATAAAGCAGCAGAAATTCAGCTTTGCATCAAAGGAATAAATTACATCTTAAAATATATTCATATAGAAGGCTGTTATTTTATATTGTAATAATATTTCACAATATTACTGATTTTACTGGATCTTTTAAGTCAAATAATTAATCAGTGAGGTTATTCCAAAGCAGAAAATGTTTGTCGTCTTAATTTTTTATCACAATGTAATAACTTGCCCCGCCTCTAAAATGACTTTCCTGTTCGCTGACCTCATCAAGGCCATGTGGGTGGGGAAAATAATATCAAGGAAAAGCCAATTAACCATTTAGTCATTAGTTCAGGAATCCTTAGTCAGCCTTTCTGAAATCCATAGTTTTTTAATGAAGGTTGAAGTAATGAAGGTTACGTCGATAATAACAAATAATGACGTACAGAAGAAACACGTCACATTATTGACGTGAAACTAGATGTGAATGCCATTTCATGTTGACTTGTAAGTGTTCTCTGTGTCTCTTTTAGTTTGAGTCAGTCATAATCACAGGTATGTCAGTATGCACCTGCAGAAGTGGCTTCATTTCCCTCGGTGTTTCGGCGAGGCTACGGGAACGGATCCAAGGCAGCTAGCGGCGTTTTGCGGATCGTGTGTCATTTGCATGTTTGCCGTGTCCTGCGGAGGAGGTTTAACACAGCTGCATGATTCTGGTATGACAATCATATGCTATGACGCTTTTCAGATGTGAGGACCTCAAACGGGAGGTTTTTAGAGAGGCGTTACAGCTTTGAGCTTTAGTTTTTAAAAGATTTTTTGAGCTTGAATCGAATACCAAACACTAAATGTGATCGTACGTGAGATGATGTTCATGCACGCTGTTGCTTTCTGTGCCACTTTTTAAAAATGTAATGTTTTTATAAATCTGCTCTTCAAAGTCTGATCGGTTTCATGTTACAGATTACCTCTTTTGTTTCGTCATTTTGCCAATCATAGAAAAAATATGAATGTTCCGAAGTAGTGTTGATTCCTAAATCAAAATGTTCAGTAATATTTTTGATGACTGTTTCAAACCAACAATTGCTGCTGTGTTTTAGGCATCGTTTTAAAAACATGCAACTGGTCCTGTTAGAAACATATTTTGTTGCATGTCCTTTGAATGATTTGATTTAGCATTTGGAGATCACTGGATGTGATTGGCATGTGATCAGATTCTGTACATCCTGTGCTCATTGTTTTTGCCCTGTATTTGGTGTGGTTTAGATGAATATATTTATTATGAACAACTTTTGAAAGCCTTAAATAAACTCCAAAAATAAAATGCATGTGCTGGTGTTTATTATTGCACTTTGCATTACACTTCTAGGGTTATTAGTCTTTAACTGATCAGTTTTTGTCCGTATATTGTTATTATGCAGTAGCAGTTTTAGATCTTCCATGTTATTAGACTCACCTGTTCCTCTCTTAATGCAAATATCTGATCAGCCAATCAGGTCAATGCATGAAGGCAAGATGCTCAGTTGTTATTAAATCCAAAAGAAATGGACTCTGTACATAAAATGAAAGTGTGCTTCTGGGATCTTCACCCTCAGAAGTCTCTAGAGTTTATAGCAGATGGTGTGAGAAAACAACAAGGTGTTGCATGGATGGATTGCTCATTACTGCCAGGTAAGAAAAGAAAGGGTTGGAACGGTTCCGAATGTTGTTTCTAACCTTATACATCCATTTATGGCCAGTCTTCACAGTATTCAGCCATTCACTGATCCTCTGATATTGCACATAAAATCGGCTAGATTGGCTGGTTTCTATGCAATATCTTGCAGTCAGGGTAAAGTCATGTTTACAAGTTGATAAAATGAGCACTTTAGAGGGAGACCAGTTTCAGACCGGATTTGCTTGAGTTTTCTTCATCAGATACGAGAAAATGTAGGCACTTTCTCTGATTCCAGTTCGTTTTAAGTGTTTGATTTTTTTTTTTACTTTGTTTTTAGTCGATTGCAAAAAAAAAACAAAGTCTATTGTTGTTTGAACTGTGACCGACTACTTTATATGTTGTTGAGACATTCTATCCACCTTAGCTATTTTCTTTAAATGTGTGAGACTTCCGGTTCATTAGCCGCTATGACTAAAAGAATAACAAAATGCAGCAAACGGTAAAACTATTTGAGTTACAAACCAGTGTGTTTAAGATTATGACAGTAAATTAAAAAATAATAAGTACCAGTTTGCAACTTAAAACAGCACAACGGACTGTGACACCGGAAGTGTCACACATTCAAATTACAAACGGCCGCGTCGCTTGTACGTTAAAAACAAGGCGGCTTCCTGTCCGAGACAAAATTGAGAGGTTCTTGGTCAGAATAAGTTGTAAGTCTGGTCCACATTGCATTTTGACTGATAAAAAGTGCTAGTCAGCTAATCAAGATACAAATAAATAGATAAATAAAAGTGAGCTGACGAATTCGGTTAGCAAACTAGCTCAACCGTTCAAACGTGTCAAAGGTATTGTACGTTACACTATTTGCTAACACGTTTTCCTTAAGTTTATCTATAACTACAACCACAAACTAGTCACCAGGAATCCTCAAGAGTGTAGTTACTCCTGTGAGCAACAGAGGACGCTACAGTGTAATGAATCAAACCATATAACTTGCCTCTCGTCCTACTGTAAAGCTCAGTCCTTGAGCACTGTGTACTATACAAGTTGTTTTTTGCTGTGCTGTTATTTGAGTCTGGCTGGCAGCATGAACATGACATGTGGATTTCATGTGAATTAATGACAGATAGAGAGAAATGCTGTGAGATTTCACCTTCCAGACTGAGTCCATTGGGGCTTTCAGCTTTAATCAAGTGCGTTTACACACCTAATGGGATGTGCTAACCACATTTGCCCTCGTACCTGGGCCTGTCTCTATCTGGGAATAGACTTTTAATTAATATGAGTGCGGACGGGGGTTTAATGAGACGCGAGACGGGTTTTCATTATAAGATGTCTTCTGATTGTGATTGCTGCTAGAATTATTTTACTTCTCGGTGGATCTCTGCTGGTTTTGCTTCAGGAGACAGATTTTGGTGACCAAACGTTAAACGTACAAAGGTAAACACGGTCTTTTACCCTGGTATTCCATAGGGGTCACACTTGTGATACTGGGATGTCAAAACAGATTGACGACAATAACAAAGTAAAACTGAAACTAAAATTAAAAACATTTAAAAAAATTGTTACTTGAAAACAAAATAGACATTAACTGAAAAACACTTTTTAACATTTTTAATTTAGTTTAACTTGATGTACTAAAATAACTAAAATTCAAATAAAAAAATAGATGTATAAATTAAACAAAGTATAGATTGATTTATAAAATACTACTAAAAATGACAATTACTAAAAAACAAAACAGAAAACAAAAATAAATACTGATTTTAATCAAAACTATAATAGTAGTTTAATTATACTGAAACAAGATAATACAATAATCATAACTTTTTTCTCTTTTTAATGGAAAGAATGTATTATGTTGTTTCAATAATATTTGTTTAATATATAGATTTTTTTTATTTTAAGGGGATATTACACACCATTTATGTTTTTATACAAATATTAGAAACAATGCAAATATTAGGGGAAAACAATCAGATTTTCAGTTAATGCAATTAAAATATTTTAATTACACACACACATATATATATATATATATTATGTATGTATTTTTAAATTTCAAACAATTATTTATATTTTGAATTTGAATGTATATTTAGACATTATCAAAGACTTCATCATGGCTGACTTGACTCTTATACCCTCTAAAATGTTTCAATACTTTGTTTTTATTCTTAATTTTTTACATTAATATCCTATGGTGGTCGTATTTGACCACAAAAATCAGAAGTTTGACTTTTTTAAAGACCATTTAAACTTTTCTAAAAAAAATTGTGTTTTTATAACGTGCCGCAAAAGTGAAAAGTTTCATACCATTCCGATAAAGTAAAAACTGTAATATTTCAAAATGTAACATTTTTCACTCAGTAGAGGGTTAAAATTGGCCTTCATCTTTGTTTTTTCATTAGAACAGACCTGCGCCCCACCAGTTAAGATCCAGTGCTCGGAGTCTAAAATAACCACAGACAGTTGTGAGAGGATGGATTACATGACTAACCTACAGCTGAGTCAAGGTCAGTTTGGAATATGTGAGCTCTGTGCTCCCTGAACACCAAAACCGTGTGGTGCATCAGTGAACTAAATATGCTTTATTTGTGGACGTCAGGGGAAAGAGTCTGAAAAGAAAGGCAATGCACTTTGGTGTCATTTTGCAGTGTTACATTTTTAGACTGTACAGTGAAACTCCAAGATGTAGATGAGCTTGTTTCTTCATCAGATTTGGAGAAAAGTAGCATTCCATCACTTGCTCACCAATGGATCCTCTGCAGTGAATGGGTGCCGTCAGAATGAGAGTCCAAACAGCTGATAAAAACATCACAATCCACACCACTCCAGTACATTAATTGACGTCTTATCTCTTATGCACCGAGAAAAGAAGTTTATCATTATAGTTATTTGGTATGTCAAGTTACCTCTTCACAATGTAATGTAAAGAGTGGTTCAGGAAAGCGAAGCTATTTTGAGAAAAGGTTTTGCAGATGCCTCTTATTTAATTAGATATTTTGTATCTGGTGCAATGAAATTCAGGCTTTTTAAGTGTGACTTAAGTGTCTAAAGACTTTGTGGGGCTAGTGTGTATGTTAGTTTACAGCAATAAATGTTATATATTTTTTTTATAAGATGATTTTAACTTCAGACCATTGCTTCTGGCCAAAATATGAGTCCCTAATAACGCTTCCTCCAGTGGAAAAAGTCCATGTTGTCTCTCACATCAAAATCCACCCACATAATTATTTTTGAACTGTTTTGGGTTGTAAACGGTAGGGCGGTGCTTGATCTGTGCAGATTTCTCTCCTGATTCAGACCAGATAACTTCTTTACTGGAGGATGCATTATTATGGATAGAGGACTTGTATTTTAGCTGATCTGAAGTTTAAAAACGACTTGATTGATTTGTTTCTTACAAACGCACAGCTTTTGGCTTTGGAGTGATGTGGATTATTGTGATGTTTTTATCAGCTGTTTGGACTCTCATTCTGACGGCACCCATTCACTGCAGAGGATCCATTGGTGAACAAGTGATGGAATGCTAGTGTAATGTATCAAATTTTCTGTTTATTTTAGGTTCACTTCCCAGTTCCAAGATCTATGCACTAAATGCATGACTATAGGAAAGTGTTTGGTTTAGTTCTATTCTCAAAGGAAACCTCCATGTTCATGTGTTGCCAAAGCAGCTCACGACATGTTAATTTTAGCTCCGGAGGAAAACACATCAAGCTATGAAGACTATGACTTGTATTCGGAAGTTGCACAGAAATGTGGGATAAAACGTAGTTACGATTATTCTGAGTGGCTGTAGCAGCTTCTCTGGTTTTATGAATTATGAATGTCAGTCCCAGTCTTGCTGCTATTTTTAATTTCGTTTTTGCAAATAGGATTAAGACGCTGGTGTGTGGGAATGCATGTGCGCCGCATGTGTCTTTAGACATGCAAACGTGTTTCTTCTTCATCTTCAGAGCTGCAACACTGAATGTGACAGTGCTGCTATTTTTGCACTGGGTTTTTCCTCGGGTTTATAACACGGGTGAATCTTTGACATGGTGTGAATGAATTCACAGGAAGCGAAAGATGAAAACTGCTCTGAGGCCGAGGCCGAAATATCTGGAAGTAACGTGTATTTATTGTAGTAATTTAGTCAATAGTTTGTCATTTAACTAACAACATTAATGGGACATAAGTGCAAACTTAACATGAATTATTATATGCTCATGAATCATTTCCTTTGGGATTTGAACCTGCAACATTTCAGGTCTTTAACTGCTAGGCCTCAGCACCGGTTGTGAGCGAATCAGTGGCTGGTTTCTGTTTTTGTGGGAAAGACCCCTGGATACTGTAATGAGCTGGTGTGAGTCAGACATGATGAATCACTCTATTAGGTTCAGTCCGGCGGTGATTCGCTCTCTGCCCTAGATAAACCAAACCCTGTTTTGCACAGTTTAGAAAACACCATCCACCTTTAAATGGGATGTTTCTACTTTGCAGTATTACTCCCTTTGATTACATCCAGTTTCCTCTTAGTATATACATTGCCCATACACTATCCTTTTTATCCACCTTATTTAGCAACCAAAAGTAAGCTGTTTTCCATGAATGTGCAAGACTTCCGGTTCATTCATAGAAGAATCAATGCGTAACACTATTTGCACTCCAAACCAGATTGTTTATAATTAGGACAATACATTAAAATATAATGGATAAGAAATGCCTATTTGCAATATCAACAGCATAACGAGATGTTTTGTACGGCTAAAAATAACTGAAAGCGAATGACACCGGAAGTCTCGCTTATTCACGTTACAAGTGAAAGCCTCCATTATCATCATGTTAAAAATAAAGTGGACACTGCGCTGCTTGTTGAATAAATGGGTTGAGTTTACATAAAGATTATCTTCTCTTTGTCAGGTGTGTATTTTAGTCAAATATTTATTAAAATATTCTATCACTGAGCGTAGCTTGATGTTAATTCAGTGAACGCTTTGATTCAGCAAGTTAATTGAGTGATCGATTCATCAGACTGATTCAAACTGTAGCTCGAGCGAACTGAGTTTGTGAACCTCTTTTTTTGAAAAAAATTTTTTATTTAATGACTCTTTAAAAGTAGTCGCTCAAAATAGTCATTTGTTCGTGAATGTAATGGTTGCATGTATTTGATTCACTAAAAGAATCGGTTCATTAGAATCATTTATTTGAATCAACAGCTCAATGGTGTTTTTCTTGCCACAATTTCCTTTTAATTTTGCCATATCACAATCAATTTGACCTTCAGATTTAGGTAAAAGGAGTTATTTTGCAGTGGGGTTGTAGATTCATCCGCAAATATAACGTAAAGAGCAATCAATGGTTTGTAGACATTTGTAGACTTTTTGTAGACAAAGAGCAATGGTTTGTAGACATTTACATTTGACAAGCTTTGAATGAATGAATGAATAAATAAATAAAGACTTGGTAGAGGTTTCTAGACACATAGGTCAGTAGAACAGTGCGTCTATCATTCTTTATACAGACATCTCCAATTGTTTTTTCACGTCTCAGATTAATTTGTGTAGGCTTTATCATAATTTGGTATGATTAGTTTGGGCAATTATGAGCAGTATTTCCTGTATCTGAACTCTAATTAGGCCCACACATATTTTGCATATGTGTCATTGTTTGGAAATACAAATCATTACTAGCTAAATAAGAATGAATGATTATTATTTAAATTTTTAAATGTCTGTTTTCCTTGATTTTAGACTTATGCTGCCAGTTTTCTGGCAAACAGTAATTTCATAATACTGAAAAATATGAAGAAAAAAAAAACTATTGAGTCCTATAGGTGATTTCAAAAATGTTTAAACCATAATAAAAGATTAACAATCATATATCATGAATGAATCATTAATAATTGGAAGTTATTCATCACGATTATGACAAAAATCATAATTGTGATTGCGATTATTAATTACGATTATCACAATTTACATTGAATGATGTTTATACCATTGTTTGATGCAACTGCATGCTGTATTTTTATATGAAAATAAACAAGCTGAAACACTCTAACTGAAAAACCTTTAGTGCTTTTCTATAGTATTAAGCCTTAAATGTCAACTATACATCGGATTGGTTTCTTCTTTAAATGATAAATAAGTGAAAATATGAATGGTATTATAATGTTATACTAAAACTAAAATTAAAATAATGGGAAAAACCCTTAAGATAACATGTAGAATGAAAAAAACGCATCTTAAGCACGCAGAATAACATAAGTGGACTTTGAACGATTAATTGCCGCTTTAAACGATTACGTAATTGTGGCATCCATAATTGTAATCGCGATTAGAAATTCGATTAATTGTACAGCCCTAACGAATTTGTCTAAGTAGGGTTTTTTTTTTCTATCTCTTAACTATTTATTTGAACACTATGCAATGTATCGCAACCTGCTCCATGTTGGGTTCGGCTGGTGTAGTTTTAGTCATGAATTAACACAAATGGGTTAATACTCCTTGACAAGTTCTGTTGCTATTTTCTGATGTAACTCATAATTATGAATCATTCGCAAACTGTTAAACATTAAAATGTTTGTTACTTTAAAACTAGCCTTCATCTGGGAGATCACCGGGATATGCAACCAGTTAACAGATCAAATATTCACATATGTCAGATTTATGGCATGACTCGGCCAGAGAAAAGCTGTTTCTATCAAACATTGTTTATCAACTGAGTCAGTGTAATGGTGAAGGGATAGATCAAATATGCCAATTGATGGAAGGTTTGCGAAGAAATTTCATGCTCCCAGAAGTACTTTTAAAATACAAAAATACAGTAGTTTATTTTGATACATGGTGTGGCTGCTGTATTTTGTATTTTATTTTGATACACTTAAAATTAAGGTATTTGGTATTTTATTTTCAAATATATTTTGATGTATCTTTGCCCAACCCTGCATTTGACAATTTTTATATGAATATATTGATGTCGAATGCCACTGATGAGAAAGGGTGTGTCCTTGAGTGAGTGAGTGAGTGAGAGAGAGAGAGAGAAAGCGAGCGTGCTCTTGTTGCTCCGAAGCGCGAGCCGCAGGTGATGATGATGAATCGATAGAAGAAAGAGCTGCTGCTTTCTTTCACCTTGTCCGCGCGAGCTCGGTTTGTCTCGCTCGCCGCGAATAAAGCGAAGCGTTCGGTTCGATCCTTCACTTCAATGAGGCTGTTCGCGAACTATTGGAGTACTCCAGCTTTGCCACAGCAGCACCGTAGAGTAACGTTACTCCCCTCGCGTCATGTCTCACTCTGAGAGATGGGCAAGTTCGACGATCACGAGAGGGTGATCCTCAACGTCGGGGGCACGAGGCACGAAACCTACCGGACCACGTTGAAGACCCTGCCGGGCACGCGTCTGGCCCTGCTCGCCTCAGAGTCGGACCTCGAGTCGGTTCTGGACCAGCTGCAACAAGTCCCGGGCTTCATCGAGTACAACGCGCGCAGCAACGAGTATTTCTTTGACCGGCACCCAGGCGTCTTTGCCTACGTGCTCAACTATTACCGGACCGGTAAGCTGCACTGCCCGGCGGACGTGTGCGGGCCGCTGTTCGAGGAGGAGCTGTCCTTCTGGGGCATCGATGAGACGGACGTGGAGCCGTGCTGCTGGATGTCCTACCGACAGCACCGGGATGCCGAGGAGGCGCTGGAGGTGTTCGAGATGAACGTGGACAACGACGAGGACGACGAGTATGGCAAGCGGCTGGGCATCGAGGACGTGGTGTCCGCGGACGGTACCGGCAGCAGGTGGAGAAAGTGGCAGCCGGTCATCTGGAACCTGTTCGAGGACCCGTACTCCTCCAGAGCCGCTCGGGTAAGAGCGCAGCGCGGAGTCGCCAAACGGTTACGCGCGGCTCCTTTACGCGCTTGCGCTTCCAAACAACACCAGAACTCATGCATGCGTGCAGACAAGTCTGTTTTGTGTTTAAGTTTCCGTGCATACTAGTAAAGTGCGTTAAATGCGATTAACATTTCATCAAGTTTTGTGTTACTAAGTGCTTGTGCATGCAGCTAAACCAGTGCGTTTCCAAAAAACGCCAAAACTCATGCATGCGCGCGTAGACAAGTCTGCTTCGTATTTAAATTCCTGTGCATACTAGTAAACGTGCTGGAGACGTGTGATGAGAGAGTCTCATCAAAAATGCGTTAAAACTTGAAGTGTGAGTGTTACTAAGTGCTTGTGCATGCATCTAAACCAGTGCGTTTCTAAACGCTTGCGTTTCCATACAACGCAAAAACTATGCATATGCATGCGTGTAGATAAGTATGTTTCGTGTTTAAATTCCCGTGCATGATAGTTAATGTAGAGATGAGAGTCTTATCAAAATGTGTTAAAACTTGATGAAATGTGAGTGTTACTAAGTTCTTGTGCATGCATTATGTGCAGAACCAGAACCGACCAGTGCGTAATGGTCTAACCCAGTGGTTCCCAATCCTGGTCCTGGAGAACCCCCAACACTGCACATTTTAGATGTCTCCCTATTTAAACACACCTGATTCAACTCATCAGCTCATTAGTGAAGACTCCAAGACCTCAAATGTGAGTGTCAGATAAGAGAGACACCAAAAACGTGCAGTGTTGGGGGTTCTCCAGGACCAGGATTGGGAACCACTGGTCTAACTATTGGAGAGGCAGGTGTCACATATTAAGATCAAATCAAGACAGACTTGGCAAACACATTATAGACCGCACATGCATGAGTGTTCTTCATCTAAAGATATGCATTGGTAACAGGTGTCCAGAACAGTAAACTTCTTCAGTGAAGGCATTTTTATCCTCTGTTAAAGCAGCCTTGGGTAAATTTGGCCTGATCGAGGGAGAGAAAAGAATCGCAGCCCTCCCACACTTATGTGACACAACTCAGAGGAAGCGTAATAGAGGTTATTTTGCGTTAGTCGCCATTTGAAATGTTTTTAATTAAACGATTGGTTGGAGGAGGCTGTTAACATCAGTGGAAAAGAAAAAGATTAATTATTGAGATTGTTGCAGGCAAATTCAGATGCACTGCAGAGATCAGCCATATCAAATTTTAAAGACCTTTTTCTTTGTGCCGCTTTGGTTTCTGAGTAATGTTTTTTTTTTGTTTTTTTTGCTCTGATTATATGCAGGCCAATGAGATAGAAATCTGCTATCACTAGTGTGTTTTAGTTTAAAATTCTTGTTTTTGTTGTTGTTACTAATTTTTTAAAATACATTTTACCATCATATTTGAAACGGAAGTGGTTTCTTTTTGAAAATGCTAGTTTTATTTAGAGAAACAAGGACAGTTTACTCCAAAGAGAGACTGGTCTTCACATTAAAGGAATAGTTCACCCAAAAATTAACATTTGCTGATAATGTCCTCACCCTCAGGTCATCCAAGATGTAGATGAGTTTGTTTCTTCATCAGATCTGGAGAAATGTAGCATTATATCACTTGTTCACCAATGGATCCTCTGCAGTGAATGGGTGCCATCAGAATGAGAGTCCAGACAGCTGATAAAAACATCACAATAATCCACAAGTAATCCACACCACTCCAGTCCATCAATTTCTTCTGGCTAAAATACAAGTCCTCCATATTGCTTTCTCCAGTGAAAAAGTTGTCTCGTCTGAATCAGGAGAGAAATCTGCACAGATCGAACACCATTTACAAGCCAAAAAGTTTTAAACAAATGTGGTTAGATTATGATGTGAGAGACAAGAGGAGATGGACTTTTTCACTGGAGGAAGCGTTATTATGGATTAGATTCAGATTTTGGCAAGCAATTATTTGAAGTTAAAAACGTATTAATAATTAATCGGTTTTTCACAAACATGCAGCTTTTGTCTTCTCAAGACATTAACTGATGGACTGGAGTGGTGTGGATTACTTGTGGATTATTGTGATGTTTTTATCAGCTGTTTGGACTCTCATTCTGACGGCACCCATTCACTGCAGAGGAGCAAGTGATGCAATGCTACATTTCTCCAAATCTGATGAAGAAACAAACTCATCTACATCTTGGATGACCTGAGGGTGAGTACTATTTCAGCAAATTGTCATGTTGGGTGAACTTTTCCTTTAATGGTGGGTAATTCTCCAGCTGGTCTGTGGTCAGTGAATGCACACATCAGAAATGGATTAACTGGTCCAATGTTGGTTGATTTGAATTTTTTTTTTTACCTGCAGAGGTGGACCAAACGATGTGATGCGATGTGCTCTTGTGGATCTAATCAATAATTAATTGTTTCTCTAAACGAAGAGTCTGCTAACTCCATTTTTAATGAGCAGAAACTGTGACCTTGGCACAAACAGACTCACAGATTATGGTTCTTGCAATGTTCTTATAACACGTATGTTATTAACCAGCACACATTTCCCAGAATTCACCATGCAGCTCCTAGTTTGCATCATTGTGCTCCCATGATGCCTTCAGCCTGGTTTCATCCATCCATCTATCTGTTTATGCAGCGGTGGGTTTGACGCTGTAATCATATTGACATGTGTGTTTTGATGCCGTGCGTGCCCTTGCCACTTAAGAGGTTAACACTGGCGCACGTCTGAGGATGCTGCGCCCAGACGGTTTCCATGGCGACCTTATCGCTCATCGGCCGCCCGTGTTCATTCAGAGCGGCGATTGATTTCAAGAATCCAGTCGAGTGCGAACCCTGCGCGTGCTTTGTGCGTCTGCTCCTTTCCTCTGGTGCCGTTTGAAACGAGTGTGTATGACATATTGTGGTGTGTGGATGATTCACACAGTCATACAGAACGTGTGTGTGTTTATGTAGGCACGGATGATCTGAACGCTGATGCTGGCAGCCGGTGTCTTGCAGCTTAAACTTTGCTGTCAGTCATTTCTTTAGATCAGTCAGTGAGCGCTGATTATCTTGTCGAGTTTCGCGTGTGTTGAGGCTGTGGGCGTCTTCGTGGGATGTTATTGTCCGTGTGCAATTACAGTAATGAAACATGATCTTTTGAGAACAAGCCTTGAGTTGATGGTAATGATGATGATGAAGCAAAATGTCTTTGTAAACACAATATTAACTAGCCATTTTTGCTCCATAATGGGATGAAACTGGTTAAAATGTTTTAATAATTAAGGTGTTTTTAAAAGAAGTCTCTTCTGCTCACCAAGACTGCATTTATTGGATCAAAAGTACAGTAAAAATTCATTTTGTTAAATGTTACAATTTAAAATGTCACCGTGTGAATTAGAAGGATTTCTGAAGGATCATGTGACACTGAATACTGGAGTAATGATGCTGAAAATTCAGCTTCACATCACAGGAATAAATTACATTTTACAATATATTCACATAGAAAACAGATATTTGAAATTGTAGTAATATTTCACAATTTTACTGTTTTTACTGCATTTTCGTAAAATAAATGTAGTCTTGGTGAGCAGACGAGACTTCTTTCAAAAACATTAAGAATCCTAATTATTCCGAACTTGAAGGAGCAGTTCACACAAAAATGGCTTTTTTATTTCTTTATTTTTGAAGCTAACATGAAACCTCATTTGAAACCCATTTTTGAACCATAGTATGACACATGTCTGTGTGAAACAGAATAATTAACTAAAGATGTAGAAAATTCACCTTAAAATGATCCAAACCTGTGTGATGTTTGTTCTTTGGGATATTTTGAAAACATTGAGGTCCAAACAACTTTGAGAACAAGTCTTGAGTTTGTGATGATGATGTCATAGTGCATCTAAAATGTGTTTATTAGGGCTGTCATAATGACTGAAAAACTAAATTCGAATTTTCTACTTAAATATTATAAAAATTCGAATTATATTTGAATTTAAAAGGCATAATTTCAGTTAGGGGAAAAAAAGCTTTTGCCTTCTCTGAGGCCACAAGAGGGTGCATCGCGCAAAATATTATGCACATTTCTTCAAAGCGTAATAAAATAACACGACTATCTTTGAAAAAAATGTGCATAATGTTTAAAATAATGTTTATAAATCATATATAATTAATAAAGTTGCTTAAACAATTAGAGAACACTCTAAAAAATGCTGGGTTGTTTCAACCTAACTTTGGGTCAAATATAACTTTTGGGTTAAAAATTTTATGTAAAAATCGAACCCAACGGTTGGGTTAGTCCATATTTGACCCAAAGTTGGGTTGAAACAACCCAGCATTTTTTAGAGTGGAAAAAAAACAGCACCATGCATGTATGTATAGTTTAATACAAAGGACCGAACACCAATCACAAAGAGTAGGCTACTTTCTTCATTTAAAAACATGAGATACAGTGAGATGGGGGAAAAAACGCCATAAAGTCTTGAGACATGTTTTTTATAAGTTGAACTTGCATTAATTTTACATGGCTTTCTAAACATGCCGTTAGATCATAGATGTCCCTCTAGAAAATGTGATAAATATGTGTTCTGTGTGAACGGCTTGGTTTCAGTTTTGACGTAAACGACAATCTCCACACTGATGCTATCGTTTTCCGCAATATATGAATGAACAACGTAGCAGCGCCAAAATGTGTGGTAACTGTTATAGCTTAATCGATTTATAGTTTCTTATCTTGGAATATATTAATATACGACCATAAGGGGGATACGACCATACGGTTAGAAACGTCATTGACACCTTGTCACCAATGACAAGCCAGCATCCCCAATAAAAGCGAGAGTTTGCGAGGACCTTTACCACAGTAGAAGAATTTTCTTGAGAAACACAGACCAACTAGAATATACGTTTTCAGCAGATCATGGTTATTCCAAAAATGCCAAGTCGACGACCAACGAAAAGAGTGAGTAGTTAAATGCATGGTTTCTCTGTGATAGGCCTAATTCTGTCTCAATAGATATTTTTATAATATCGTGGAT